CTTCTCAGAAACCTGGTCCAGTGTACCTGTCTACTGGTGAGTTGAAAATACAAGTTATTTTGATAGAGTAGATCATCATTAAAGCTGGTGAGTTCATAAGTATTTTAGTGTTAAATGTTTGTATTAGTTTGAAGAAAGTGTTTGATGGAATGTTTGTAAATGTTTGATGTAGTGTTTGTAAATGTTTGATGTAAAGTTTGTATAGTTCTTAGAAAATCCTATATATTCTACTAAAATGGAGAGTAGTCTTCTACCAAGACTCGACTGTTCTATATGTTAGTTCTTTTGTAAAAGTGAGTGTTTTCCCAAATATATGTCTATTATTACCAGAAAATAGTTTACATTACCTTTTATGTGAGAATATCACAATATGAATGTAATGGGAAAATGACAATGTACAATAATGTTGTAATAAGTAACTACTGAAACACTAACTGCCTAAAAATCAATTTGTTTAATTAAGGTTAAATTGTGATGTGGTTATATCCATACCGAGTGACAAGTGTTTAACATTACCGAGTGACAAGTGTTTAACATTTTCCCAAATATATGACTATTATTACCAGAAAATAGTTTACATTACCTTTTATGTGAGAATATCACAATATGAATGTAATGGGAAAATGACAATGTACAATAATGTTGTAATAAGTAACTACTGAAACACTAACTGCCTAAAAATCAATTTGTTTAATTAAGGTTAAATTGTGATGTGGTTATATCCATACCGAGTGACAAGTGTTTAACATGACGACCTGCTGGCATCGAAACTAATGTGACATTTATCACCCCTTGTCTTGCTGGCAAAACTGTAGTGAACAGTCGGGATGCGGGCTTGTCAGTCCCGTGTAGATCTATACACACAATGCCTGCTCTCCCTCAAGGAGACTCTGGTTACAAAACGCGACCTAACAAGTCTATTGCTACGCCGTGAAATAGTTTCACATTAATGTTATCTTGTTCTTGTAAAAGGATGTATGTTCCTTTTTGTTTCTTGTTATTGTATGTTCCTTTCTGTTCTTTTTATCATATGTTACATTCTGTTCTTGTTATTGTATGTTTCTTTCTGCTCTTTTTATTGTATGTTTCTTTATGTTCTTTTTATTATATGCTTGAACTGACTCATGTATGAACTGACTCTTGTAAGTTTCATTGTTTTAGAAATAATAAGTGTTATTCTCCTAAACTATACCTTTTATAGTTTACTAGTAAGCTCTGTAATTGAATGACTGTTCATGTTTGTACACCTTTTCTACCTAAAGGTGTTGGACTGATTGTAAGTAATTTTATATCTACATACATATACATAATATGTAACTAAGATTTAAACGACACTCGAACAAACAACTGATACCCTAAGTCTACAAACAAACAATGAACATGAAATAAAGAGAGTTATTAGTCCGAAGCCCTTTGAACCTTATTTATATAACTATATCTATATAGACATGATTTGGACAATATATAAGGTTAAAAGAGTTTTGTAAAATTATAAAGACTTTTATTATATATAAGAGTTTTAACCATTTGAATGGTTATTGATGACTTGGTGTCAATTTATAAAATGATTTGAAATAGTTTGTTTGTTAACATAGCTTTGAAGAATAAGAAATTTCTTGTTTTGATAGTTATAAATCACATGTGATTGACTATACAACTATATGATTTTCTACTTGTGCCCCCCCCCCCCCCCCATAAAACATTTAAAATCATTTAAAAGATAAGTTAGGGTATGAACTCACCTTTAGTGAGTGATTTGAATGGAAGATAGATATAGGATGCTTGAGATCACAAAAGCAGTCCTAAAGCACAAATTTATCCTATTACACATACAATCATATATATATATATATATATATATATATATATATATATATATATATATAATCATATGTATACATATATACAGACACACACACACACATACACACACACACACACACATATATATATATATATATGTGTGTGTGTGTGTGTGTGTGTGTGTGCGTGTATAATTAGTGTATATAACAACTAGTAATGTTAGGGAACAACCTTAGAGACTAGGAAACACGTCGGATGAAGTGTTACAATCACATATGATTGTATAAAAGGTGTTTACGGCCACACAAGAGTGTGTTCACGGCCAAGATAGTGTTCACGACCATGACATGAAGGGTTTAAGACCATATGATGAGTTTACGGCCGTAAACTCTTGATGATCATGCTACAATGATTGATTCTTGGATACTAATCAACTACTTCTAATTAATAATAAGTATATGGAAAGGATACTTATGATTTGGAAGCTTAAAGGGGTTTTTACGGCCCAAAGAAACTAGTGTGTGTTCTTGGTGTTTTTGAAGATCGAACCCCAAAGGTTTGTTCAATTATTTACACTATCGTATATCAATAATGTTTTCCCTACTAACTATGTTTATGTTTTTGGTATTGGCAAGTGCTGCCTAGTGGATTGAATACCTTTGAAACAAGAAACTTAAGAGAATCATATGGTGTTGACTTAGAGAAAAACATGTATATGTAGGGTATGGCACATGAGTATATATGATTGTGTTCATTCACTAGCATCCATATCTTATGCAAAAAGGAATGTAGAGGCCTTTGTGGATCCTTTGCATCATGCAACTTTATATATGAACACCAATAAGTACTCCCTAGGAAGCATGAATGGGAGTGAAATGCCCCCAACAGACTATATAACACCATTACTACCACTAAAATGGAAAATGCCAGGGAGACCCACTATTAAGAGGAAGAGGGACATTATAAAGGTCAGTGGATCACACAGAGTGTTAAAGGCAGGAAAAAAGATTTCTTTGGTGTTTGTAAGAAGCTAGTGCAAAAAAATTCGACATGTGACGCAGTTGAAAGTCCCCTAAAATTAAAGGTAAAAAGATAGAAGGGTCAAGATACATGTGGAAGTGGTGTGAAGAGGAGGAAAATACAAGATGACGGAGAAAATGGTGTTAAAAATGGGAAGGCAAAGGATGAGGTTGGAAGTGGTGTTACAATCATAGGATTAGATGTGTTTGTATTTATGTTGTTATGGTTGGAAGTGATGCTAAAGAAAAAGTTGGCAAAAAAGGTGCAAGGAAAAAAATGGAGAAGGTGATAATTCAACCACACCAATGGAATTTGATTAGACCTGTTTGTATTTATGTTGTCATGGTTATGTTAAGATGTGTATGTGTGTGCTTCAGACACAATTTGAAGAATAAAACCATGTACTTTGAATGTTGACAATTATAAGGTCTGAAAATAGCCTTGTACTTTGAAAGATGATTGTATTGCATTTTTATGTTCTTTAACATGTTTGTATTGTACTTTTTTCTGTTCTCAATTTTGCACCTAAGAATACACCTAAAATAGTATTGTACTTTCACATGTACTATCTTTTAACGTGAACACAAAACCTTTAACACGATGCATCCACTATTGCTGCAACAAGTCAACAGCTGTTTTGAAATGCATTGAAATTGTTATGAAAAAACATCCAAAATATAAGTCCCTAATATATAATATGAAATATTTTTCATTAACATTAAAACCACTTTTTGGGTACACTAATTGATTCGTGAACAATAGTCAGGCTAATTGGCTAATCGATACCCCCAAAAGACTATTACATGGCTATACTCATACGAAACCAATAATACCCCCCAAAATAAGTCATCATAAACACATAAACTAACCAAAATTACATATACTAAACACACTAACACCATTACCACCAGAATCAAGACAAACCTAACTAATGTTAGTACCTAATAGGACATCCACAAAATGATTTCGATGGTCCATGAACCCACATAAATTCAAGGATCGATAAACCTAGCTAAAAGCACACCCACTCCAAGAATCAAAATCCACACACTGAAATTGAACCTCTTTTGTATCACTACCATCTAGTCCCTAATTTCGACGAGCTCCAAGGTGAAGTTGTTTCTCATGATTTCCATTTCGACGTGCATCTCCACATCTAATAGCTCGTTATCAGTTGGGATGCCTAAGTCTGACGCGTGGAATCCTGCGTAGGAAAATAGCCGAGTCACATTTTAAACAAAAAATGTCAAGTTTAATGGAATAATATGACATTTGCCCTAAAATATATATAGTTGAAAAATTAAGAACTATCATAGAAAAAAAATAAAAGACCTATCTTGAGTTTGTTTTTTTTGTTTTGTTTTGTTTTATGTTTTTTTTTTTTTTAAATTAGTTACTAAGGAAAAATTATAAGGAGAAAAAATATAAGTTTCTATGGGAAATATGTTATTTTAAATTACATGAGTGATAACAAAAAGTTAACAACTTTTTGGAGACCATTTTAAAATATCAATAAATAAATAAATTGCTGTAATAAAAAGAAGCATGCATGCCAAAGAATCCTACTTTTCGTCTGCCTCTTTAACATTGAATTAATGATCAACTAGTTTTTCATTAAACAATAAGTTTTTTTTTCAGTTATATTTCAGTCGTTTTTTTTTTTTTTAAATTTTGATCGATGGTGCCTGATTGGTTATAATCGATTGGTCCATCACACACACACACACACACAAGTGTTGTTGACTTTTATACTGGCTTCACTTAATTCAGAAACCACAAAATTTTTTGTTCTAAATTCTCCACCGATTTGTTCCTCTGGTTAGAATCAACATTCTTTTTATTAATATTTTCAACGACCATATGATCTTTCATGCTTTTATTAAATTTTGTATCATCATTGTTTTCTTAAATATCTAATGTATTTTCATTAATATTTCCATCTTAATTAGCATTCATACATATAAAACGACCTATTAAATTAATTATAATTAAAATATTATATCATTATGATTATGATTGTGATTCATTAAAACAATATATATTATAGATACGCATATATTTAAAAATGCTATCACACAATATGATATTTCGCTTTATATAATATATACTTTTATCGAACTTTATTCATTATTGAGAGTCAAAGTATAACTAAATAATTAAATACCAACAAATCCTCCATGAACAAGAGGAACAAACCCATATTCGCCGGTGGTTCTTCTAAGCAATGGAAAGACACAAGCGAAACTGAAGACACTGCAAGCAGCAAACCCAAGGAAGAAGAAATCGAAGAGATTGAATTGGGAAACATTGAAATAATGCAGGATATTCTTTCTTACAGAAATCGGAAAGGAGTGTGGCCATGGGAAAGCCCACATGATTTGCAAACATTTTGCTTTCCTTATATTCATGTGGGCATTGGGAACGAAGGTGGGTGGTTAAAGAAAATTGAAGAGATGAAGAACAAATTCAACGATGAGAGTGCTCCAATGGAGCATGTTGATAAGAAGGAATTCAAATTGTGGAAGAAGATTTGGGGGAATTAATCAAATGGTGATATTGATGATGATTCTATTTTGGGCTCATATAAATAAGTTTTCTAATATTTTTTTATAGGTTTTAATTTTATATGTAGATGATGATTTTCTTATCTCAAAAAACCCAACAGTGGATTAGGAAAGTGCATGGTAAATAAAGCTTCATATTTTAAATCCAAATTATATATATATATATATATATATATATATATATATATATATATATATATATATATATATATATATATATATATATATGAAGCTAGGAGGCCGTGCTGAGCACTAGGGATGAAAGTGGGACTAAAATCGGACGTGTTTACTCGGACCCTGAAAACCTAGAACCCGGAATCGACAAATTATAAGAAACGAAATTCGGACGGGTATACGTTAATCGGTTCCTATTCGATTCCGAGTATCAAACCGGATATAGTGCGTATGGAATTGGTTGGAACCGGAAATTAATAATTCGAACCAGGTTCAAGTATTAGACCCGAAAATAACCGAAAATCCGGCAATAGAACCGGCGTAATTTTGGAACTATATATATATAGTAGTCCGTAATACTTGTTAATAACAGATGAAAGCAAGCATTGATAAACATCTACTTAAAACCAACGGATCCGTAATACTTGTTAATATATATATATATATATATATATATATATATATATATATATATATATATATATATATATATATATATATATATATATATATATATAGTAGTCCGTAATACTTGTTAACAGTAGTCCGTAATACTTGTTATTTTTATCCGGGTTCCGGGTATTCCGGGTACGGATCCAACGGGTCCGGGTATTCCGGGTTTTAGAACCGGATTAGTAAAAAACTCGGATCCATGTTTAATGGACAGGAACCGGTTTAATGAGCCAAAAAACTGGAAAATTAAAGGGTCGTCAAAAAATACCCCTATCGATTAGAATTGTATTAGAATATTTTGACTTAAATGCACAATTTTACGTCTAAATACTTAAAAGAAAATACATGTTTAGAGTTATATTTCAATAATAAGATTATTGAAGATTATTGAATTCGAGAAATAGTTAGTACAACCATACTACAACCTATTTAGTAATTACCCATGATTCCGGAAAAATAAAATACAATTTAACTTTAGCTCTTTAAGATCTAACAAACCAATCTTTCACTTCAAAATCCCAAAGGAATAACATATAAAAAATAATAAATGCCACTTGATTTACAAAAATCTAATGTTAAATCGTATATGTATCACATTAATTAAACATATAAATTTTATGTGGAGCTGTTTGCAAATTGGAATCTTGAAACTTAATAACCCCATACCCACAATATTAGTGTTGCAATTTAATGTGAAAGTTTTTGGTTTCCTTTGGGATTTTGAAGTGAAAGATTGGTTTGTTAGATCTTAAAGAGCTAAAGTTAAATTGTATGTTATTTTTCCGTAATCATGGGTAATTACTAAATAGGTTGTAGTATGGTTGTACTAACGATTTCTCGAATTCAATAATCTTATTATTGAAATATAACTCTAAACATGTATTTTCTTTTAAGTATTTAGACGTAAAATTGTGCATTTAAGTCAAAATATTCTAATACAATTCTAATCGATAGGGGTATTTTTTGACGACCCTTCAATTTTCCAGTTTTTTGGCTCATTAAACCGGTTCCTGTCCATTAAACATGGATCCGAGTTTTTTACTAATCCGGTTCTAAAACCCGGAATACCCGGACCCGTTGGATCCGTACCCGGAATACTCGGAACCCGGATAAAAATAATTTTTAAACCCATTACCCGGATAAAAATAATTTTTCGGGTTTCTTGGCTCGTCCATATCTTATCCATACTATCTTGTAAAGCTCTTTTACCAACAAACTCACAATGTTCAAAATCAGAAAACTCTAACAATACTTATACTTGAATTTAGATTTTAATTTTGGGTACTTCATTTTGGTTTAAATATGAGAACTCTTTAAGTTATGAAGTAAATTGGATGAATCGAACCACTTGGGTTGTGGTGACTTGGTAAGGCATGTGGAAGATATGGTGGATAACCTATTGACGCATGTTCAAATCCTGGCACCACTCAGCCCTTGTGGCCATGGAGGTTCGCCTGCAGTGACTCCAGGGCATGAAGCAAAGCTTTATGTTTGCAGCGGGGGATTAGTCGGTGCGCGAAAGCTGGCCCGAAAACCCTCGTTAGGGAAGTTCCCTTTCCAAAAAAATTGGATGAATCGGTTCAAAAATGTATCAATAGTGCAAATTGATGGTAAGAGGCTTACCATAATCGAACAAATGATTGATTTGAGAAGAGAATGCAACCCGTTAACAAGGTTACCAATATTTTAGAGGAAAAAACCTAGAAATCGAGGGAAAAAGCAATCCCTCTCCCACCCTTTTGAACTGCTAAAATAGAAGCAACCTACAAATCATCACAAATTAAACCTAATGTAGAAATTTAATAGAAGAGATTTAGAGAGGTTAAGCAAAAAAATTAACGATTACCTTCATGAGAAACAAATAATATGGTGTGATGGGGCGTCCATGCCATCGATTCTGACAAAATAAGAAGAAAAAAACATGATAGTTTGGGAAAATAATAAATATGCAATAGCGTTCCAAAATCAACATAAGATCTTTAGAACATATAAAGCAGTATCATGAAGAGAAGACTTCCAACAACAGAGGTAAAATAGAAAAAAACGATCAAAAACTAAAAACTACCTTGTTGAAAGATTAGAGATTGATGAATTGTTTTCTTGTTCCTAGAGACAACAAAAAACCCAGCCACAAAGTATCACAATCAGGAATTTTTGTGCCTTGTAACTACAATACTTAAGTCAAATTATGAATCCAAAAACATAAGAGCATGCATGATGTTTACTCTATGACAACAAAATTTCAATCAAATACACCATACAAGCATTACAAATAGTCAATAAGCAATTGAAAACCCTAGAAGTTCTTGTTTAGGTCCATTTTGGACTAGGACTTCCTTATTGGGCTTAATGGACCAATAAGCTTCCAATTTGACCATCTTGGGCTTAGAACTCTTAAATGGGCTCTAATTGGACCCACTTCCATTTATTTGAACATTTTGGGCCATATTGGGCCTAGAATGAAATAAATTAATTATATGAACCATTTTGGGCCATATTTAACCTAATGTATATTATTTAATTAGTATTATTCAAGAATTAATTTGGAATTAATCTAGTGATCAAAAGAGACTAATTAAATTAACGGGGACTGGTATGTAAATCAGTGATATATATATATATATATATATATATATATATATATATATATATATATATATATATATATATATATATAGTTTGGGCTATTGATCCATGATGGGCTAAGTTTATGTAAGTATCCATGAAGAGTTAGCCCCCATGAAATATGGATCATAACCTAAGTGTATGGATTAGGGTTTACCCATGACCCTTGGATTCATACATTATATATATATATATATATATATATATATATATATATATTATATATATATATATATATATATATATATATATATCATGGTTGTAAAAATCGGCCTAGGCGTTCGTTTAATTGGCGCCTAGGCGCTTGGCGGCCTCTAACTGCCTATAAATAAGGGTTAGAGGGTAAAATAATTGGCTTTGGTCAATATCGGTCAAAACCGGCCCAACTCGGTCCAAATCGGACTAAATCGGTCCAACTCAAACTCCTAATCGGCTTCGCTAACTATAAAAGACCCACCAGCTCAAAGGAGCAGGCTAGCCTAAAGCTTAGCTGGGTTTGATTCTAAAAGGAGTTGGATCCCCTTTTTAAAGAATAAGTTTCCTTCATTCATTATCCCTCCAGCGATGTGGGAGACTTTAGACTAGTAACCTGTTATAACATCCGTTGCCTTCATCTATTATCCCACCATCGATTCAAGTTGATTGTGGTGCCTCTATGCTCGAAATCTCTAAGAATACATTCACGAATGAAGATGAATGACGACATTACTATTCTTCACTAATATCATTGACATATCTCGATCCAAATTCTAATCGATTAGGCCCCATCTTCTCCATCTCGAATGAAGATAAACACCTTCACGAATAAAATTAAAATACGCAAGTTCTTCAATCTCGACCCAAATTAGTAGCAATAACAAAATTTGCGTCTCCTCTCATCGCGAAGTTTCTCGGCTCACGATTCCGGTTCCCGAAGTTTCTTGGTTCCAAAATCAACTCTTCTTCCGATTGGTGCTCCTCCCCTTCTCGACTTCGATTCCTGAAGTGATCATTAACATTTATTTTAGCGCGGAGTAGCCCACAACTCTATTATCGACATCTCAAGTGATCGTATGCTTCTTCACCGATATCCCTTTAATCGATATCCCTCTAATTCAATTATGTTTTTATTTGTGTATAAACCTTTAATCGATTTTAAAAACTGCAATTTGCATCTCGATGTGGTAATCAGTAGATGTTTTATGATTTCGAGTTGAATTCACATACACTGTGAATTCTTGATGTCGATAGTGCTTACTAGTTATCATTTTGGATTGGAATTACATGTTAGTGTCGCGATTATCAGTATCAAAAACAGAATTCAAACTGTGGTTTGATGAGAAATAGAAAAATTACTAAAGCAGTCCACCTGTTCAATGAAATTCCTGAGTGAGATGTTCTTTCGTATACCACATTATTAATGGGTTTGTAAAGAGAAGCAAGATCCTGGGAGGGAAACAGATAGTCCTCCATCACATAATGAGGCATTCAAAACATAAAGAAAGAGAATATTAATTCTGATTAAAGTGGAAAGGGCTCACATTTTCAAAATCTAAGTAGGTTGACAAGAATGAGTTTGTTGTAAGCGATTGTAAAATTTAATAAATTTTAAGAAGTTCTTTAATTCAAAACTTGTATATTCATTATTTGTGTGGATGTTGCAGGGTGTTGAATTGTAACATGTATTTGAATTGGATTTATTTCACAAGAATACTAGAAAAAAAGTCAAACCATATAGTTGAATTGTT